AACCCTTTTGAAGTTCTTCCCCTCGAACACAGATTTCCTTCAGTAGCAAACCCCGAGTTCCTCTGCCATCCATACACACAGCAGGCCGATTTTGAAACGTTGGTGACAGACGTACAGTTCTATTGCTATCTTGCAGTCGCCGTTCCGTGGCAACCCTACCGCGTCGGAGTTGCCAACTGCGGTAATGAAGTGTACGACTCGGTCTGGCCAGTCGTGGAGACGACGGTAGTCGAACTGCGATTGAATCGAGGCCATTAAGGCTGGGCGTTGTGGCGCCGTTGCAACAACGTGCAGGCGAAAGAAAATTCCTTTTTCTGCATCCTGTCGCCTCAACATTGGCTCGTCTCCAAGCTGAAGGCAGATGACGTCTACAACAATCGACAGGGGAGCAACCATTTGTCTGCCTTAGTATCAGATGGGGCTTGTCTGATCCGCCCTCGTTGAGTGTCTCCAAGTTTACTCCAGCCGCATAATCCTCAAGCCGTCTGTATGTGGATGAAAAAAAATCGGTATCAGGAGGATGGGTACCCGAAATTGATGCGCTAGTGCTAGTTGTGGCAGGGTTGGTGGTGCCAACGGCGGGGCAAGAAGAGGGGGACAAGGAAGTGGAAATCCTTTCCAAGCCAGAGGATCGTTTCCCACGAATAGGGCATGGCCGATGATTGGTCGAGTGAGGAAAGGATCTAAGTCGACCCACTGTAGCGGTCGTTTCGTAGGCATCAGATGTGATGATGTTGTAGCAGGTTCGGGCCAATAAGAGGAGGGGATTTGGCGACTTCTTCTGAGAGGCCTTCGACTAAAACATAAATTATGCAGGCAGGCTAGGATTAATGCATTCGCTAAGCAACAACCGATCCTGAAGAATAATGTTGACTTGGGTTTACATGATAAGAAAGTTAATCTTCTAGCAATGAATTGACAATTGGCGTCTCTTGCAAACCAGTGCTTTCATCTTGGTCGAAAGACAAACAAATCACGGCTAGACTACACGAAAAAGTAGCAACGCTGGGACGAAGTCCAGGCATGATTATCAGGGCTAGTCAAAACTCAAATAATGCATTTATTTACGTTAAACTTGATTGCATTATTGAGCTATGAAAATGATGTAAGATCAAGCATGTTCGTATTTAGACACACCCGCATGCTATAGTATGATATTCAATTCATGTTATCGTATAGTATAGGAATTCATTATGCTACTGAAATTACTCAACCGCCCTATTATCCACCAAGTTGGTAAATTATTTGGCGCTGCACTGAACCTATTCCTCCAACACTATCAGTTCAGGAATGAATATTTTAAAATTGTTGAGCTTACTTTCATTTCGAGTGAAAGCGTTTGGTGAAGAGATTTCAAGGTCGATCCCACCAGAAGATGACGGCGGACTACTCTTGACCAACTGTTGATTAGCTCTACTGGAATATTCTTGTTGACGCTCCTTCCGAGGCGTTCTCTTCGATTCCGGTAAAAACGTACTATGCTTTCGTCCGTTTTATGACGAGCATCATCAGAACAGGTTATCATCCTTACAATTACATTCAAGCTAACGGGTGAAGAATGAGTCGAGCTTAGCACATGTTCAGTTGAATCGATGAAGGATGCCTCGAAAACAGCGTCAGCAAGAATGTTCCAGTAAAGCCGATCGACAGTTGGTCAAGAGGAATCCATTGTCGTCTTCTGGTGAGGCCGACCTTTGAATCTCTTCATCAAGCGCTTTCACTCGAAATTGAATTGAGCTCAACAATTATTAAGCAAGAGCTTCCTCAAAACAACTTTTTTTGGCTTAGAAATAGATAAATTTAGATATAGTGCTAAACTGGCCTCGTCAATTTAAAACAACTTTAACATTTCACTTCCCCAGACATATTTTACTGACAAAGGAACCAGCAAATGCACAATTTCATTCTTCCTTTGCATACTTGTTTTGGAAGCACAATATGTCAGTAAACTAGCTCATAGTATTGTTGAACATTTCGGCATTTTTGCAAAACCCAAGGATGAAATACCTTTGTGAATACTATTGCAATACTGCGAATAATTGAAGCTACAAGAATGAAAAAATAAAGCTTTCATTGATTATGTTATGGTAGAATCACTACCTTAACGGTATGAAGACAAAGATAGCATGACCTTGGGCCTACTCAGTCTCCTTTAGCTATGTGGTTTTGGTTTGATTTCATTTTTGCAACCTGGTCGGAGCGTAAAAGCGACCTTGTGGAAAGTATCTAGTCCTGTGTATTCTGCCAGATTATTCAAAATAATTTCTAGGATCAGACCCTGGAAACAATACGACACAACATAAGGATAGTGATGAACAGATGGCAAGACGGATATTATGAAAGTAAAGTGAAGAGAGCCAAGGAAATACGAGTGATATGTCTCCTCTTGCGAACTGGCTCGGAAGCTGCGACCACTACCATTGGAATGGAATATTTCTTCAGTCCTAAAGGAAAGGATAGCCTTCTTCACCAGCTTGTCTACAAAACAAGAAAAAGCCAACTAAATGGACTGAAAATAAAAATAGCACATCGAAAAGACTAGAAGAACAATCAACACGAGGATGAAAGAACACCAGAGGCTCTGCATGAAAATGGATACGGAAAGATTTGAGATACTAGAATACAACGGAAAGACAAGCCTCCTATGGGGCGAACACCAGATAACGGAAGATCATAGAATTCATTGTTATCCATTTACAAGAAACCTGTTGAATAGGCGATTGGAATAGGAAGAAATCAGCGAGAATTTAGTTAACTGTTTGGGCAGACTTGTAGATTAAACGAGGACAGCAAAAAGAAGTCGCTTGGATCATAGACATCGCTA